TCAATCTTCTTTGTTTTCATAATTTGCAAATAAAAATTTAACTATTTATATTATTTTGTATAAAAATATATTATTAATTTTTTGTATATGACGTGCATAGCACGGGTTACCACTAAAAAAATAGCACTCCAACTATATTATTAATTTTTGTATAAAAATATATTATTAATTTTTTTTATATGCCGCGCACAACCCATGCTATAAATGTTTATGTACTTTTTTTTTAAATAAAAAAAATTAACTAAATTAGTCAATTCCTAAAATAACCCTGAGTGTTAATCATCTAACAGTCAACCTCAAAGAAAATAATAATATTCTGATAATTATATTTGTGTTGTACATTTTATTTAAGAAAAAATGATTTTTTTCATTCATGATATAGTGCAATGAAACTCAATGAATTATAATAATAATAATCAAATATAATACATAATTAATAAAAATAAATTCTCAAAATGATAGGAAAAAAAAATCTTAACAAAAGCACGAGAAAAAATATCTCAAATTGTAAAAAAAAGAAGAAAATAAAAGAGAAAACTCACGTTTGAAAAAAAATAATAATTTAAATAAATGGTCAAAAAATGGAAAATTATAAAATATTCTCGCAGGACGTGTCCGTACTTTCTAATCAATCATTATTCATTATACTCTCTCATGTCCTTTAATCACCCAACATAATACCCCACCTACTCACATTCTTCACCGATTACAATAGTATGGAGTGCAATATGTCTATATTCTAGAATGGCTAAATAATTACCCAAGAACAAATAAGGGAAATGAGAGGAGAGAGAAAGTGGATTTGCAGAGTAAAAATTAAACATATAAGGAAAATATGTTTAGAAAATTTCAACAGATAGGAAATTGAATTGTTATTTTAACAGATAAAAAAATTTGTACAGATAAAAAATTAGACATATAAGGGAAACAAATTGAATAGATAGTCAAAAAAATTTAATAGATAGATATAAATTTGAACAAATAGTAAAAAAAAAAATTAACAGATAAATTAAGCCGTAAAATTGAAAACAAAATATCCTCTAAAACTAACAAAAGGACTTCTCACCAAACTATTTCACAAACCTCTCACCAACAATTTTACAAATCTTTCACTAACAAAAAAATATTCACTAAATCAAATTCCTTATATGTTCCTTAGATTGAACTTTTTTACAATTTTTCATAACTAAAACCAAAATATTCAAAACAAAATTTTTTAAAATCAAAGCAAATAGAGGTAACTTCTCACTAATCTCTAAGTTTAGAAAATTTATTTCAAATTCCTTTGAAAAACAAAAGACGGAAGGACGTAAACATGTTTTATATTTTTTATTTTTTATTTCAACAATGTTAGGTAGCTCAAAATTTTGTGGCTCAAATGATTCAAATCCCTCAAAACGACGTCGTTTTGAGTGTAAATAAGTGTAAAACGACGTTGTTTTGAGGGATTTGAGCCATTTAAGCCACAAAATTTTGAGCTACCAAACATTTTCTTTTTTATTTTTTATACAGGTCATACGGTATATTCAAATGCCATCATTGATTATTTTATGTTTCATCTGTCTTAATTACATAATCCCTGTCAAATATTATTCAAAAATGAGATTTTTTATCAATTTTTTAGTGATCTTGTTGCTGACTATGCTTCTTCTTTATTAAATATTTTTAAAAAAGATATACACTCTTGTGTTCTACTCGTTTACACCAACTAAAAAATAAAATAAAAAGAGTCAAAATTTGGAAAAAAGTCCACACAAAAAAAATATTAAAAAAAGCAGGGGAAAAAAAATGTGACTTTTGTAAGTGGGATCCAAAACTTACCCTAACCTTTTTAGAATTCGATGCCAATAGTAATCGTTCATAATTTTAAATAGTTTGGAGGACTTCCATTTACACCATAGATGCACACCCAACATCTTTTCTTAACTCCCATTCTTTGAATCTTACGATCTAAGGTTCTTCAAACGACTAGTGTCATTGAGCTTAAGTTCGTTTTTTTTCTTTTTTTAAAGAAATGTAAATGAGTGACCATTTAATTATTTTCTAGAGAAAATCAGTGTCCTTAATTGTGCATGGTGGTCTTCCATAAAATTAACGCATGCTGTGAGTTTTCCTTACAATTTTTTAGGCATTATATTTGATTTTTTTTACCACAGACATTATTTGACCTTTAATAAATGCCTAATAGACCGTTTGTAAGGCCCTAAATAATATAATATGACACCTAATTCATTATTCTAATAAAAAAAAAGGCTAGGCTTCCCTCCAGTCCGATACTGTTGGACCCGTGAGGGCCCATCACGGGTCTTATTTTGATAATCCGAACTATTTAATGTGTAAAACTCGTCGGTACAATATGTCTGTAAAAAATTACGTTGATCGGATATCGATAGCTATCTCATCGGATCAGATTTCTGTTAACCGTTTATTTTTTCACTGTCCATTTTTTTATACAAAACTGATTTGATCATATAACTATTAATATCCAATAAACGTGATTTTTTACCGACATATAGTAATCGACGAATTCTACATATTGAACGGTTTAGATTATCGAAACGGATCCCGTAATAAGTCTCCACGAGCCCAACAACACCTTTCAATCCTGAAGGAAAACCAACTCCTAAAAAAAATCTAAAGTATGAAATTTTGATATTCATTTTAGGGGAAATTACACTGACATGAGTCGGTGAAAAACTATTTACAAACAAATAAAAAATATTATAAATATTAATAATTAATGTTATAAACTTTTTTTTATTAATTTATAATTTTTTTTCATCTAACACCACTGTTAGGTAATTCTCCCTTTACTTACCCAAAAAAATAAAAAAGGGAGGTAATTCTCCCTGTTTGATTATGTATAGGGGTGTACACGGTCCGGATTGGTTCGGTTCTGAGAAAATCCAAGAACCGAACCGATCCTAACGGTTCTGTGATTTTGAGAACCAGACCAGACCGTTACACTTGTAAAACCGGACCAGAACCAAACCGAAAAAACGGTTCGGTTTCGGTTTGGTTTACGGTTCCAAAAATTTCTATTTACAAAAATAAATTATTAATATTAGCAAAATAATTACTCAAACTAATTACATTTAACTCATGATAAAAATTAATAATATTAAGGCATTACTTAATATTACATATCTATATCATCCTAATATCATTAAAATTATAAAAAATCAATTAATAAAAATAAAACTTGATATTATATATATATATGTTTTAAAATTCGGTTCGGTTCGGTTTGAACCACGGTTTTTTCATAAAATCCATTAACCGAACCGTTTTTACGGTTCTCATATTTCTTAATCCGAAACCGAACCAATTCTTAATAGAACCGAACCAAACCGTATGATTCGGTCTGGTTCGGTCCGAATTACCGGATCGAGCGGATTTTTGAACAGCCCTAATTATGTACGATAGGAAAAGTTTCTCAAAATCACCTAAATGAATACATTGTTATTCTTTCTTTATTATTATTATTGTTTATTAAACTTTACAAACAAATAAAAATATTATAAATATTAATAATTAATGTTATAAACTTTTTCTCATTAATTTATAATTTTTTTTATCTACCCAATTGTTAAGTGATTCCCCCTTCATTTTACTTACCTATTAAAAAGTGTTTAATTATGGTAAGGAAAGGTTTCTCAAAACCACCTAAATGAATTGATTATGAGAGAGTTTGGGAGGTGGTTATGTGAATTGATTTTTTAATTATTTATAAAAAAAATTATGTAAAAAGTAAAGAGAGTGATATGATTGTGTGCTATAATTAAAAGGCCACCACCTCAAACGGGCCTTCAGTGTTGTATGTGAGGCATTTGTAAACTTTAAATTATTTGTATGTTTTGCATTATTGAATATCACTTATAAATTAATTTATTACTTTAAAAAAAAAGTTGATTGATGGTAAATTTTAAATTCTTTAGATGTTTTGAATTATTGAAGCTAGCAAAGTTTATACTGGCCTCATTTAGTATCACTTATAAATTAATTAATTTAATTTATTTTTTTAAAAAAAGTTGACTTATGGTGCTTACTTATTTATAAATTGTAACTTTTTTGTATATGGACAAAAAAATCCCATTTCGTTTGTCATAATTGTAACTTTTGTTATGGTTATTTGTATAACAAAAAAAGTTATGGGACAACTTATTTAGCGAAATAGATTCAATTTCTTTTCACAAATTGTAATAGTTGATCAAAGAAATTCATAACTTTTTAAAGTATTTTAAGTTAATAATCTAAAATGCTATAATCATGAAAATAACTTATAAGAAATACCAAACGACCCTATTAAAAAAAGATATAAGCATATTTCACGTGCAACGTACATGTCCTGCTACTAGTATATATATAAATGTATAGATAATATATATGATGTGTCCCTCAACTACAAAGAACGGTATATATGCGTTTTGAAACAAATAAGACAAATATAACAGTAAAAAAAAATTTAAAATAAACATAAAAAGGCTAGCCAAATATATGCACACACCCAACCCAAACGAAGAAGAAAATGCAAACAAGCAATCGAGAATAGTGAATCTAATGGGAGATTATTCAATACTCCCGGAATACATGTGGTCATACCCCAAATAAATTACCAATGACTTAATCTCATGTTGTTCTTTATCCTCAACATAAATTATGAACCCTTATGTCTCTCTACCAATCAAAACCTTACAGAGCACCACGTATTCATATTTTAGGGCAAACAAGCAATCGAGGATAGTGAATCTAATGGAAGATTATTCAATACTCCCGGAATACATGTGGTCATACTCCAAGTAAATCACCAATTACTTAATCTCATGTTGTTCTTTATCCTCAACATAAATTATGAGCCTTTATGTCTCTCTACCAATCAAAACCTTATAGAACACCACGTATTCATACTTTAGGAGTACTGAATCACCCGAATCTAATAAACATAAACATCCAATAAACATGTATCTCCCCAAAATATGAACACCAACAAACAATATATATAACAGAACAAAATCTTAACTATATACCATTTAACAATTTCAAAATACCAACAAACAATATATATCTATACTATATATAAAGTGAACACCCTTTATGGTGTCTTAAAGCCTTGGTTTTTTATGCTACCATGTGTCCACTTTTTTATTTAAAAAAAAAAAAAAGATAGATAGAAAAAAAAACTAGATAGATAGATAGATGAGAGAAAGGGACCCGAACCTTGAACTTATGTCAAGTGAAGAAGTCCCTTACCCCTTGAGTAGCGTACTATATATAATAAATATTTTATTTTATTTTTACTTATTTGAATTGTACAGGCATCGCGTGTGCCAACCGCTAGTATATATATATACTTAGTATCTACTTCTAAACTTTTCATCAACCTCTGCATGGCTATGGCTCATGAGATTTTCTTCCTCACCATCATAAACCTGATATAATCAAACAATGAAAAATTAAAATTCAAAATTATAGAGTTAAATAGTATATAAAATTGAAAATTCTCACCCTCGTGTTTCATCGGTTTCTTTGTCGATTTCGTTCATGGCATCCCAAACCGTCATCCGCGGCAACCAATGAAAAGGGTACTTGTAGCGGGCAACATCCAATATCAAAAGCATGTCTCTGCCCTTGTGATATGCAGCCATTGGTGAAAAATGACCATCACCCGTCTAAATTTCAAAAAATAATAATAATAAATTTAATTTACTATATTATAACAAAAGTCATAATATCATAAAAATAATTAAATCAATATTCAAATCTAAAACAAAATAAATCAGCAAATTACCTGATTGACCGTCTTCCTAGAGTAGGAAAGAATCATATACAACTCTTCTGTTGAAGTCGTTTGAATCACACAATTTGTGAATTGCTCTAAAGAGCTATGTTGAGCCTTGAATGCTTCAATGTCAACATGTTTCCTAGCAAGTTCAACAAAACTTATGTTGAGCCTTGAATGCTTCAATGTCGACATGTTTCCTAGCAAGTTCAACAAAACTATCAAATGTGATTCCTTTTTTCTGGACATTCCCCATGATCTCCGAATCCCCGATCATGGGATCCTCAAACCAGCACCAACAAAAAAATAAAATAAAATAATAAAAAATGAAGGAATGAGCATTGAGACAAAAACATAACAAGCATTAATTATTGGAGCATGAGAGAACAAAAGGGCAACAGGAAAGCAAATCAGATATGAGAGCAATGAGCCCCTGGGATGCAGTGTGGTTGCTCTGCCCTTTGCATAGCAGCCACTGCTGTGAGATGTAATAAGGCTCACTTCAGGTCCTATCTGAATGATCCAAATCACTCTTTTTTTAGTGTACATCAATTAGTATAGTCTCGTAAAAAATTAAGTCGATCAGATATCGATAGCCTCCTAATCAGAACAAATTTATATTCACTTTTATATTAAAAAATACACCAAGCGTTTATTTTTGTAGACACAAATTTGCCCTAAACATAAGTCGATTAATGTCCAATCAATTTGATTTTTTTCAAGAATGTTCTACTCGACGTACCCTAAGAAATAAACGGTTCGGATTATTAAGGAGTAACCCAAAGTGAGCCCTATTACGCTCACAACAGTGGCCACACTGCATCCCCTGCTTATGCCCCTTTCATTTCATTGGCCACCTCATCATTAGTGATGCCATAGTAATTTAGATTTAATAATGTCACACTGAAATATACTTGGTAACAAATTCAATTACAAAAATCAATATAACAATCTTTCCTAAATAATTACAAGTTTAACGAATAGAAACTCTAAGACTAAACTGAACTTTTTTAGCCTCTGTTTGGCAAGTTGGTTCTTGGGCTTTTTTGGCTATTTTAGCCACAAAAGACAAAATAGGCTATTTTAGCCATAACAAACAAAACATCACATCCAACCCATAATCATTACATTCTTCTCTCACAAAAAAACTCAAAAAAGCCAAAAAGCCAAAAAGCCCTTCCCAAACCAAGCTTTTAAGCCCAGGCTAAAATAGCCAAAAAAGCCAAAAAGCCAAAAAGCCCTTCCCAAACCAAGCTTTTAAGCCCAGGCTAAAATAGCCAAAAAAGCCAAAAAGCCAAAAAGCCCTTCCCAAACCAAGCTTTTAAGCCCAGGCTAAAATAGCCAAAAAAGCCAAAAAGCCAAAAAGCCCTTCCCAAACCAAGCTTTTAAGCCCAGGCTAAAATAGCCAAAAAAGCCAAAAAGCCAAAAAGCCAACCCACTTCCCAAACGGAGGCTAAGAATTTATTTCATAATTGCCAAAAATAGGCCAAAATAATTATCTTCTTTTCACAGGAAGAAGATATAAAAAGGCCTACATGAGAAATAGGAAAAAAAAAAAAGGAGAGAAAGTAGAGATGGCGCCGAAAAAACGGAGAAGCGATGAAGGTGAAGAACAAGAAAAAATGCCTGTGATTCTGAAACGCGAGTTGATGGTGACTCGGAGCTCTACTCTCCGACCCAACGGTAACTCGGCCACAGACTCGTTGAGCTCCCCAAACCCAAATCCAAACCCAGGAAAGCCAAAACAAGCGCCAAGGAAGACCTAAAAGAACAAAAAGTACAAGTACAAACCGCAGAGGTTAAGGCTGTTGCTGATGATAGTTTTAAGACCATCGTTATCGAGCATTGGTAATTTTTAATTTCCTTTTCCTCATTCTGATTTTTTTTTTTTCTTTCTTTCTTAAAGTCAAAGCATAACTGTTATTCATGTAAAATTTTTTAAACATAATATGGTTTCGGCACAGGGATAAAGGGTTTATGCGTATATATATATATTATTTGAAAAGCAAAGCTATTTTGCTACATCTGTTTGAACTTTCGGAGTTTTCAAGTGTAATTAAAAAAATTAAAATAATATTTCAATCATAGTTAATTTAGTTGAGTGAGATAATATTTATTTTTAATCTCAACATCCAAGTGTGATTATATAATTTTTTTTAATCACAGTTTCTATATAAGTGTGATTGTGTATATATTTTTAATTTTATTTTTATATTTATATAATTAGGCATGAGGGTTTTTGAATTTGTCCTAAGGAAAAATATTATAGGTACCAAATTTTCTACCAAACAAATGATTAAATGCCTCACATAAATGTAGGGTCTATAAAATTACGGAGCCACATTTAATCATTTATTTAATATAAATTTGGTATTCCTACCATTACCTTATCCTAAGTGATAAGAAATTGTCTTAGAAATACATTTATAACCAACTATTCAGATCAATATCAAAATCTAAGGGCCAAATATATAACATTGCCTGCCTCTTTGGATTCCTGCTCATGAATACCAATCACACCTCCCCCTATCTTTCACAGACGTCCTCCACTCTCTCTCTCTCTCTTCTTGGTTTACCTATGGCAACTTTGTTGAAATTCGAGTGCACTATTTGATCAAATACAAGGTAGATCAGTCGACACAACCAGCGAGAAAGAGAAAGCGCCATCAAGATCGGTATCCTCTTCAAATTTTTCCTCCCTTTCCTTGGCATATCTAGCGTTTCTTAGTTCATTGTTTGTTTATTTTTTTGTCGATTTTTCTTTTTGGGCATTTTTGTTTTGTTTGTGTCTCTTTGTATGCATACACTATGTTCTGTAAAATGCCTCACATGTCTTTACATTTTTTTTCTAAAATGAGTCTCCAAAATGCCTCAAAATTTTTATTTGGGTTTTCGTTGGGTGTCTAACATATGCAACATGAGAGTGTAATTTTTTGGGGGGTAATCCAATGGCCCCATCAGCATAAGACTCAAGAACAGAATGTTTACAAAAGAGATTAAAATTTGAATTATCAAAGCCCGTGTTTTCAGAAATAGAAGTATGGAAACTATTTCTTTCTCGTTGTAATCTACTGATTGAAAATTCGTCCTGATTACTATTTCTTTTGTTGGGTGGGTGGGTGAGGGGAAGGGGGATTCAATTTTCAAGATATTAGTCTCCTTTCCTTTTTGTTCTTTTTGGTGAATGATCGGTTAAGGCCGTTGATCTAATTACTGAACACGCATGCTGTCACCCCATCTGCAAAAATATGGGCTGATCTTATATTGAAGCAGCCAATTAAAATGTTGATCTAATGCTTCATACCACTCCTTACTTCCTCAAATCTTCAATTAGGGTATCAGATATCTAAATACAATTAAGGAAGTCTGCACTCATCTACTTATACTGACAGAATGGACTCTCAAATCTCTAATATTATAATAAATAAAAACCATAAAATTCTTAATACAGCATAACATTCTTTTAAAGTGTTCACATCCAAAAAACTATTTCTGAATTAATAAATTTATTGTAGCATATTCATACTAGTATATTACAGTCTCTCCTTGAGCAATCAATGTCAAGGTATGACATGTGACCGCTCAGATTTTACCAAAATATTAAGCAAACTTAATGGAAAAGTCTATATTTGGGGGAAATTATTAAGAACTGGACCAATTTGTAATAATTCTCTACAACTCTTTTTGTATGAAACTTTGTGTTTGCATGATGTTATGTTATTACATGATCAAACATGACAACAAATTTTGTTTATGGACTTGTTTAAATGAATTTACTCAACAAGTAGATTTATCTGCATCATGGCTCTTCATTCATAAGTATCTCAACCTTAAGTGGTGTTATGACCACCTTGAAATTTGGTAACTACAAGCTTTTTGGAATATAATGTGCCTATTACTACCAAAACATAAATAGAACATGTACTAGAAAATGTCTCTAGCTCTGTCAGCAAAGCTTGTTAGAGATGGAATAGAGACTTGGGTTCTAGTCAAGTCACCCTTTGAGCTTGAACATCATCTCGTGAACTGAGTTTATGTTGGCCTTCTATGACCTGAGTTTCTGGATCAGATATAGGGGGTTCTGAAATGGACAGTAGGAGAATTACTACCAGTCCTTGGCTGTGATGACCGAGAAAGGTTTGATTGCGTTTCTCATTTATATTATGTAATTTGTTTCTCATTTACAGTGTAAATTGTTTCTCATTTACTTCTCACAACCAAGGATATTGCCTCAATTAAAATTTGTCTCTTTCTCCCTCTATATTTTGTGTCTTCATGCATACACCATGTTAGGTAAAAGCCTTAATTAAAATAGTTTATTTTCTTTTGGTTAAACCAGTTGTTTATATAATTCCACCTTTTTGTTGTTCAAATAGTGAGTGAATCTATTATAACAGACCAAGTAAATTACTAAACAACCTTTCCAAAATGTAGTGTGTGGTAGTAAGTTTAGCAAAAACAGAGGTACATTCAAATGGGTAATGCAAACAGTGGGAGTTGGATATTATTTTTAGTAGGCAATTTTTAGGGAGTTGATTTTGGATAATGGATAATGGTGCTTGCTTACTTATATTTTCTATTATTTGGAATGACATAGGCACGAATTTATTACGATCATTTGAAACTTTCATTTGGCTCTAAGATTAAAAATTTAAAACTTCCACTCTCTCTATGTGATGCTTTTAATTTTATTTTTGGAGATATAGGCCCCCAAAGTCCATCAAGGACCAAGGTTGAGAGCTGCGAGTTTTCTCTATTCCAACTGCGCCTTCCAGTAAGTTTCTCCTTTATTCCCAATTTTACTACCGTTAAATTAAGTTCCATTTGGGTACTCTCTCTCATGCTTTTGTGTTTTTGTGGGTATGCTTTCTTTCATATTTTGGCTTTGTCAATTGATTTGGTAAGCAATTTCATCAAAAAAAAATTTTGTTAACCAATGCTTTTATCAATTGATGTCATGAAATGGTTATGTAATATATCTTTTTTTGTTTCAAATTAGAAGGTACTCCCTATGATTTTATTTTTCCTTTAAAATGAGTGGTTCCTTCGCTACATAGCCGTGGTGTGTCAACCTCTTAAGCAATTTCGGTGTTCATATTAATTCAAACCATGGACAATATCAATATCAACATCAATATTGAGGCCTAATTTTTACTTATTATTATATCTAATTTCTTCATAATAAAATGCTTTTGTATCATGTTTAACAGCTGGACAAACGGGAATATTAGATCCATATACCAATTTTTTTTTTTATTTAATCTGCATGTTCTTAATATGAGTTGAACTACATGTAAATATGACATAACTTTCATCATTGTAGTTTTTGTATGTTTTTTTTCCTCTTAAGTTATCTGCCAATTGGGGTTTTGTACTAAAAAGACAATCTCCAACACTAGAAAATGTACTGATACAATGCCATCGAAGTTACAAAAACACACACGTACGCTGCATCTGCAGCTGGTACTCTAAGCAGTTGCTTGTCTTTGGGCCCATTGTCCTATGCTACCATGGTGGTGAACTGAAGGAAGATTGGTTGCTGATGGATTATTATGAGAGCTCTACAGCAACTTACCATTTTCTTTCAATGGTGGTCATCCCTGTTCCTATGCTTCTAGAGACCTCAGCTTCAGCTTTAATCTTACAAGCCTTACATCAGTTCACATTTGCAGCCTTATTAGCAGCCTTAGTGACACGTGAATGTGACCCCCCCCCCCAAAAAAAAAAATTGACAAGTAGTTCTGTTAGCACTTGATCTTTTCTTGTAACATGTAGTTTGAATTGTTCATCATCTTTAACATCTCTTGTGGTCAAAAGTTATGAATCTCTTGATTGCCTATTGTAATATCTCTTCACTTTTACATATACATCATGCACTTTGATCATGTAATGCAAGTAGTTTTTGTGAATATTATTTGCACATAGATTGGCAAGCATAAGTTATCGCTCTTTAAGAGTGTTGTGTTGATTTTGGATGCATATCAAGAATATGGATATGCAAGCTTCAAAGGAATTCCTTGCTGAACTGAAGGTGTAGTATTTGATATGGATTTTGTTAACATTTAGAACCTAGAGTAATTGGAATTGATTTCATTTTTGGGAATCCTTTTTATTTTTAATCCTCCAGAATTTAACATCATATTATGGTAATTTGATGACCATTATATTTACATTGTGCCATTTACCAGCAGTTAGAGTCCTCGGGCTTTAGATGGAGTTGGGACTTGCTCTGTTTTTTCTCTGTTGGCTACTTGTACCTAACCACCACTGTACACACACTAGGGAAAACGATATCAACCTTCACTTGATCAACTCACACAACACATCAAACTGGGGTTGAACTCCATTAAACACACAATGATTATTGCTTTGTGGACTGCTTTAACTCAAAAAACAGGGCACCTCAATAAATAGCTACATAATAAACTTTCATGTGGTGTAAACCTTTTGCACTGTGACTTGTGGATGGACTCGTGCAATGTATTACCTGTTTAGTCTAATCTGGTTTTAAAATTACTCAACTGCACCCAAATAGCAACTCTTAAGTCTTGCTAGTAGATTATGTTGACAACACATCACCACTATGACTATTGTATTGTTCATGTGGCACAATTTGAGTGCCTTACTGAAGTAACAATGCCCAAATGGTTTCCTATAAAAATTGGTTTTTAATGTTAGTTAATTAATTTGAATCTTTCAATTGGAGTCATAGAACTTTTTACAAGATTGTATGAAGTTTCTTCATTTTACATGGCATATTTTTCAGTGGTGCTTTTTGCCTGCTGGCTGCATTCCAATAGCAATTATTATGTGTGAATTTCAGAATTTGAAAAATACGTTCAAATTTGCTTGGGTTTCAAAATTTTGTTTTTAAATAACATGAGTTTGGTTAAAAAACTTTAATTATTGTCATTAGACTTGAATGTTCTCCAAAGTTTTCTCTTGGAAGGTCAAAACATGAAATAATCTATATCCATTAGTGTCTAGTTAAACTTTTAGTATTTTATTTCAACATTCTTATAGAGTATTTTCCTACTTTGAATCGTTTAAATGTTAGGTCGTTACCCTCAAGTAACGCGTTACACTTACCTCCGGGTGTTTCAAAAAGTGAACAAGGGGCGTTGCATCGACGCTTGGGTGCGGTGAAAAACGGGCAACGGTTTCCGCATTTTTTTGGACGAGCACGGGTAAAGAAGTTAGTCCAAGGCTGCAGGTTTAAGTAGCCACTTGGAATATAGGAACCTTAACTGATAAGACGATGGAATTGGTAGATGTTATGATTAGGAGGAGAGTTAGTATTGCTTGCATACAAGAAACTAAGTGGATGGGTGAGAAAGCTAGAGAAATTGAGGATACTGGTTTTAAACTGTATTATAGTGGTAACGACAGACGCAAAAATGTGGTAGGAATCATAATTGTCAAGGGTCTGGTGGAGAATGTAGTGGCGGTCATTAGGAAAGGGGATAGGATTATGTTAGTTAAACTAGTTATTGGAGAGAGTATAGTAAACGTTATTAGTGCATACGCCCCTCAAGTAGGATTAGATGATCAAACTAACACGGATTTTTGGGAGCAAAATGGATGAGATCTTACAGGAGATGCCCGTAGGAGAAAACCTGGTTATAGGTGGAGATTTTAATGGCCATGTAGGCATAAATAAACTAGGCTATGAAAGGGGGCATGGTGGATACGGTTTTGGTGACAAAAATGAGGCTAGAGAGAGTATCTTAGATTTTGCGTTGGCTTCTGACATGGTGGTGGCCAATACTATGTATAAGAAGAGGGAGGAGCATTTGATAACTTTTAAGAGTGGGTCAGTTAAGAGCCAAATAAATTATTTTTTAGTGAGAAAAGTGGACCGCCTAAAATGCAGTGATTGTAAGGTGATTCTTGGAGAGAGCCTGACCTCTCAACATGGGATTTTGGTACTAGATTTATGTTTTAGAGGGCAATACCAAGCTAGGAAGGATGGTGGGACGTCGTAGGACGAGATGGTGAGACCTAAAAAGGGATAAACTAGAAATATTTAAGAATAGAATGGATAAGGAAGATACTTGGGACTTGGAAGATGATGCTAACACTATATGGAACTTTATGGCTAATTATATGAGGAGAATCTCAAGGAAAGTGCTTGGAAAGTCGAAAGGGACGGGACCCAACGCCAGGGAAACTTGGTGGTGGAGGGAAGAGGTTCAAGAGGTAGTTAAGGCAAAGAAGGAGTGCTTTAAAAAGTGGCAGAAGGATAGAACTGAGGAAAACCTTAAGAGCTATAGATTGGCTAGTAAGTCAGTCAAAAAAGTAGTGAGAGGGGCTAAGTTGAAAGCTTATAATGACCTATACACTAGACTAGATAGTAAAGGAGAGAAGAGAGTATACAAACTTGCTAAGATACGAGAAAGGAAAACAAGATATTTTAATCAAGTTAAGTGCATGAAGAGTGAGGATTCTAAGGTATTGGTGAAGGATGAAGAGATTAAGGAAAGATAGAAGAACTATTTTGAAAAACTATTAAATGAGGAACATGGAGGTACGACAGTAGGGGAAGAAATGGCTAGTAATACGATAAACCAAGACTAGGTTTTATCGCAGGATTAAGAACTTTGAAATGAAAATTGCACTTAAGAAGATGAAATCAAATAAGGCTTTAGGACCCGATGATATCTCTATTGAAGCTTGAAAGTGCTTGGGTAAAAAAGAGGTTGCTTGATTGACTAGATTGTTTAGCAAAATTTTGTTAACTAGGAACATGCCAGATGAGTGGAGGAAGAGTATTTTAGTGCCGATATATAAGAACAAAGAAGATGTCCAAAATTGCAACAACTATAGAGTAATCAAGCTAATGTGTCATATAATGAAAGTGTGGGAGAGGGTGATAGAACGTCGATTGCGAGATATAACAGAGGTGTTAGAGAATCAATTTAGGTTTATGCCCGGCAAGTCAACAATGGAAGCGATTTATCTTTTGAGGAGAGTAATAGAAAAGTATAGAGAAAAGAAAAGAGACATTCAAATGGTGTTTATTGACCTTGAGAAAACATATGATAGAGTGTCCCGAGATATAATATGATAGGTGTTAGAGAAAAAAAGGGGACAAAAGGTTACATTAATGTGATTAGGGACATGTATAAAGGGGTGGTGACCACTATTAGATCGTCTGTTGGAGAGACAAATGAATTTTCTATTACTGTTGGATTACACCAAGGATCTACCTTAAGCCCTTATCTTTTTGCTTTAGTTATGGATGAGTTGACGAGAAATATTCAGGATGACGTGCCATGGTGTATGCTTTTTGCAGACGATATCGTGTTATTGGATGAGACTAGAGAAGGAGTTAGCACAAAATTAGATATTTGGAGAAAAGCTCTTGAATCGAAAGGATTTCGGATAAGCAGAACTAAGACAGAATACATGGAGTGTAAATTTAGTAACAGTAACAATGAAAGCAGAGGAGAAGTGAATATTGAGAATCAAGAACTACCTAAGAGTGAATATTTTCATTATTTAGGGTCGATTATTACAACAGCGGGGGAGCTTGATGCGGATGTGGCCCATTGGATTAAGGCGAGATGGTGTAAGTGGAGAAATGCGTCTAGGGTACTGTGCGATAAACGAATACCTACTAGACTAAAATGTAAGTTCTATAGAATGTCTATTAGACCAGCGATGTTGTATGGAACGGAGTGCTGGGCAACCAAGAAATAACATGTAGATAAGATGAGTGTGACTGAAATGAGGATGCCAAGGTGGTTGTGTAGCAAGACTAGACAAGACAAGACATGACAGAATTAGGAATGAGTGTATTCGAGAATGGGTAGGAGTAGCACCGATAAAAGATAAGTTCAGAGAGAATCGATTGAGATGGTTTGGTTACATTCAACGGAGACCAACAGAGGCAGTAGTGAAGAGATGAGATGCTGTAACAATAGAGGGGATTGTTAGGGGACGGGGTAGGCCTAGATTAACGTTAGCTAATGTTGTAAATAGAAATATGGATCTACGTAATTTGACTAATGAAATGGCTTTTGATAGGGCCGCATGGAGAAGAAGGATTTATGTAACCGAGTTCATTTGATGAGATTTAAGACTTGGTTTGGTTTGGTTTAATTATAGGTTTCATATTTCATTATTTGTATGAATTATTTTTCTCTGTTTTCACTAGGTGCCAAGGCCAAGGCTATCTGGTGAAGGTGGATGGATAAACACATAGAGAGAGAGAGAGAGAGAACATTGACTATACATTTCTAATTGTCTAACCACCGGGTTCCTAATTTGGATGATCAACCTGGCTTGGTCACATGGGATATAAGGGGGCACTGTACAACAATCCCCTCTAACGACCAAAGGTTATGTTGGATTAATTATTTAATTCATTGCTTCATTTGTTTCAGTGTATATCTAAATAATATAATATAACCTAACTCTTTGGTATGATGCTTACTTTTTTATTTTATTTTAATATAAATGCCTTATAAATTTACTATATAAAATAAAAAATAAAAAACCTAACCCTTTGGTAGTGGGCACAAAGAAGAGTTGTGAATTTATCAGTGTGTATTGTGTTTTTACGCAAAAAAAATTTAAATAATTTACGAAGATATTTTTTTATGAAACTTTGAACTCACCAACTTATGCATAATTGGTTTGAGTCAATATGATTATCAATCAATCTATTGTATTATGGAGGAGAAAAATTAAAATGTGATGATATGTTGCTCTAGCTGAAAAAGTTTTCTCAACTATAATGGGTTTGAATTTGCTTAAAGAAAACAAAATTACTAAGTCTCAATTTGCATTATGTGTATCTATTAATTTTGAGATGCGGTGTAGCCAGTATTATTTTAATGATAGTGGATATTTTACATAAATGTTATTCAACATAATGGATGAGAAAAATATTTGTAAATGTAAACAGAGTTTGTTAAATTATGTAAATTTTGGTGTCTTCTTG